TAAGGCAGAGAACACATGTACTTAATTTTACACAGAACACTGAATTAGCCAGAATGTTCTGAACTAAGCACCCTTTATTCCATCCTGCTTTAGCTGCCATTTCTTTTTGGAGCAAAGATCTCTCCCCCTGTGCCTTTTTCAAAAATATTCAGACTGTAATGTTATTGTAATTGGCTTAGTGGAAACTGAGAGCAGCAGTATAAACATATTTACCCCAAGCCTGATTGTGATTGTGGTGTCCTAAGTTATATCCTAAAGATGGAGAACGGCCTGGAAAACTCTGTAGAACATCCACTGTGTCCCTGAGGATCAATAATGAAAGATGTTAGCATGTGTGGATGACCTGGGTTCCGCCTAGGAGGTTTGTTTATTTACTTGTAGATAGGAGCATACTATAGAAGTTCTTTTTCAGACAGAGGGATTAGCAAATTTTTTCTTCTTTAAAGAACCAGCATCCATCTGCTGTTGATAAAGATAAAATTGCTTATAGTGCTGCCAAATCTCAGCAGCTGTTATTAGAATCTCCTCCAGTTTCATCACCAATTGAATCCAATATGCATTAGCCCATATACCTCTAGACAAACGAGGCAGGAATTTTCAGTCAAACATGTTAGATTGGGCAAGTGATAACACAAAATTGGGCGTCTATGAGTTTCATTCTCTTCATGGTTCTTCTACAGACAGAAGTATGACAATTTGACCTTTGGGTCTATTTACCTGTCTGAAAAATAACAGTAATAGGCACTTTGGAACCATCTACTTACTTCTTTTTTGAGGTACAGAGGATTTAAGAGTTAAGCTCCCTTAGTTATCCAATTGAAAGATTTGGCATAAGCGCACCAACTATGATTAAGGAAACGACTAAAGTGACAGGCATTCTACCACCGGAAGGTATTTCTGGAGTGAACTGATTTTGCCTTTCGATTCATCATCAAATTCATACTTGGATACAGCTTAATATTAAGCAGATAGAATAAATTGCCTTTACTGTTCACATACTGAAGAGCTTTGCTTAATTAGGATTTGGTTGGGAACAAGGTGGTAAAGAGGCATTATTAGTGATTATTCCTGACACTTTTAAACAGTTTTTAAGTTCTTAAAATGCATCCAATCCTGAATTTCAAAGAATAGAAAGAATCATGGGGTGATGGTAAATCAGGATGGATTATCCCCTTCCTATAAATTGCAATGTAGGGTGAGTTAACAAACCACTTTAGGATCCTGAGTTAACTTTTGATCTTACTGGAAAAAAGTTGTGCAAGTAAGATGTGTTTAACTTTTTCCTATTTGTCTGTGGTATGTCAGAGGAGGGGCAAGCCTAAGAAGTTTACACTAAAGTAAAACACTGTGGAAAGTAAGGAGAAAATTTGAGGAGCACTCAGGAATACCTGTTCCTCTGCAATTTCTCCTATGGAAAAATTTTGCACTAAGATATACATTTTATGAGAAGAAAAGATAATTAATTGCTTGGTTCCTAGGTTCCTTAGTCTGAAGTGTGATTCTTAAGAGGGTCTCTGTAAGAGGAATTTGGAGACATTTATTCCCTTGGTACTATGACTTCTCATCGCTGATACGACAGCTCACTGGGTATTAAGAAGTTGCCCATGTTAAGACAATGACTCCCATAACCATTTTAAAAAAACAAAAAACAAAAAACAAAAACCCATGTCTTGTAACACACAGTTGTTCCAAAGGATAAGCTGCAGAGTTTGCATGTTTGTGTGTGTATGTGTATGTTTGTGTGTTTGTAGTGTGTATGCAGGGGCAGGTAGAAGTGTGGTATAAGTATGAGAATAGTTTAGGAAGCTATTGAATTATGGATTGGAAAGACCATAGTGGTTTCTGTCTTTATGTGTGTGTGTGTGTGTGTGTGTGTGTGTGTGTGTGTGTGTGTGTGTTTCAAGAGTCAATGGATTATGAATGTATGTACAGTGACAAATAAGATGAGAAGTAAAAAACAAAACAAAACAAAACAAAAAACTAGAATTCCAGTCCAACTCTGGCCTGCTAGACAAAAAGAAATGTAGGCTGGGCATGGTGGCTCAGCCCTGTAATCCAAGCACTTTGGGAGGCCAAGGCGGGCAGATCACCTGAGGTCAGGAGTTCGAGACCATCCTGGCCAACATGGTAAACCCCATCTTACTAAAAATACAAAAAATTAACTGGGCATGGTGGCACGCGCCTGTAATCCCATCTACTCAGGAGGCTGAGACAAGAGAATCACTTGAATCCGGGAGGCAGAGGTTGCAGTGAGCTGAGATCATGCCACTGCACTCCAGCCTGGGCAATAAGAGTGAAACTCCATCTCAAAAAATAAAAATAAAAATAAAATAAACGTAGGCAAGTCAATCTTTCTGAGCATCAGTGTCCTAATCTATTAAATAGAGGGTGAATAAATCACAAGGCTCACATGAGACTATATGATTGGGAGACTTATCTTAGTATCTCATTAAAAAGCACTATGGGCAACTCCACAAAAGTGCAACTTCATCATGAAGACTCAACTACCCCTAAGATTCCAGCATGATCCCACCTTCTAAAGCATTGTGCCCACTTCCAGAACTCTCTCATCATGGGAATGATGGAAGCTTCTATACGAAGGACTAAGATAAAAAGGATTCCTTTTAACTCCACAACTTCTTTAAACCCAGAACACAAGACTCATAATATAGATGAGGTTTTTTTTGTTGTTTGTTTGTTTGTTTTGAGATGGAGTCTCGCTCTATCACCCAGGCTGGAGTGCAGTGGCGCGATCTCAGCTCCAAGCTCTGCATCTCGGATTCACACCATTCTCCTGCCTCAGTCTCCTGAGTAGCTGGGACTAGAGGCACCCACCACCACACCCAACTAACTTTTTGTGTTTTGTTTAGTAGAGACAGGGTTTCACCGTGTTAACCAGGATGGTCTTGATCTCCTGACCTCGTGATCCACCCGGCTCAGCCTCCCAAAGTGCTGATATTACAGGTGTGAGCCACCACGCCTGGCCTATTAGATGAGTTTTATAGACTCACATTATAGACTCATAATCTAGACTTCTTAATGTCCAGGGAGCTGTCATATCAGTGATGAGAAGTCACAATGCCAAAGGGATAATTGTATCCCAATTCCTCTTACAGAGGTTTTCTTAAGAATCACAATTCAGCCCGGCGCAGTGGCTCACACCTGTAATCCCAGCACTCTGGGAGGCTGAGGCGGGTGGATCACCTGAGTCAAGAGTTCGAGACCAGCCTGACCAACATGGTGAAACCCTGTCTCTACTAAAAATACAAAAATTAGCCTGGCATGGTGGTAGATACCTGTAATCCTAGCTGCTTGAGAGGCTGAGGCAGGAGAATTGCTTGAATCTGGGAGGAGGAGGTTACAGTGAGTGGAGACTGTACCATTGCACTGCAGCCTGGGCAACAGAGGGAGACTCCGTCTCAAAAAACAAAAACAAAAACAAAAAAAAAACAAAAACAAAAACAAACAACAATAACAAAAAAACACACTTCGTAGTATTTCTGGTTCTAAGTGAGGGAGGAATCACCACACTGTCTTCCACAATAGCTGGACTAATTTATATTCCCATCAACAGCATAAAATCACTCAGCATCAATTACATTATTTTGAACAAATCTGTAGTTTATCATGACACACAATCAACCAACCTTACTGTAACAAAGATAAACATCTTATTCTATCCTGCATTGTATCTTTGCTATGGGAGGGACATTGATGCCTCTATTGATGATGCCATCAAATAATTAGTCCAAATTACTTTCTTGTAAGGGTCTGCTGCCAGAGGAGAGAAATAAAGATTTCCATTTGAATGAAAGCACCTGTAGAGGAAAGAGCTAACACACGTAGACTTCAAATGCATATTTACTCCAAATATAAATGAGATGGATGAGTCCTAACATACATGCATCTAACTTAAGCATATTCAACACTGTGACCTTGGAGAAAAGTAAGAGGGAGAAGAGAGCAGGCAAGAATGAGAGAATCCCTGTATCTATGTTTGTGCTCTCCTTCAACCTAGAAGTCAGCCTTCACCACAAGAGCCAAAATGCAAAATAAAGCAAAATAATTTAAATTCTACGTTTTAAGTTTCCAGGGGTTTAATGAGCCCTAGAAAGCAAAGGAGTTTTCCAGGATTATTTTGGCCTTACAAGTTTTATCCTTTCTGGGATGAATATAGACCCTAACCCTGTGTAAGATTAACTCTGTGTGACACATTCACACATCCACTGTAAACTTTATAATCATACTCTTGTCACCTGGAACCCCTTTTCCTCACCCCTAGACTTAAAGCCATATCACACCATTATGATTATGATCTCTTGTCATCAGTTTGCCCATAGTGTTTTTCTTGATTTATGAATTATAGATCACACATCCTATTAGCTTTGTAAAACTTTAATGAATAAGATCTATCTTAATTTAGATTTATCATTAAGATGAAAGAGTTAAAAATTCTGGAGAAACACATTTGTAGAAATGATCTTACCCTCCCCTGGAGCTATGCCAGCTTAAGCTAACTTACCTTCTCAGGTGTGCATTTACCAATTCTTTAAAATCCCCAGAAAAGTGATTTCATTATGAAAATACTGTAGGACATTTCCCATGCTATTTCATATGTGATGAGTTTTCACTATTTCCTATTAATGAAGAGTGGAAGATGAAGAGTGAAAAGAAATAAATGTTACATCCTTTCACATCTTCTAGAGCTGCTTATGAAAATGAATGACTGGAATAGTCACAGCATTGGCCTAAAACTGTCCTAAGACTCCAGGTTTAAATATCAGATATGATAGAAAAGACCACTATCTGGGACTCATAAGTGTCAGAGAATCACATACTTTGCAAAGGAAACAATACCTGAGCAGTCAATGGAAATATACACACACCACATGCACACACACATATCTTCACAATGATGGGTTCAGAAACAGAATGAAGCAGATTTAAAAGAAAAGACAGGCCAGGTCATCTTAATAAGTCAAGAAGGAAATCCTGCCTACCTTGTGACTGCCCGGGTGCAGATGGTAACAAGGAAACAGCCAGCCACAATCATCCAGCCCCAGCCTCCATCTGGAGGGGAGGTAGACTGAGCTCTATTTACTTTTGCCATCGTTTTTCTTTTTTCTTCTTTTCCAGGTTGCTCCAACAGCCAAGTTATGATCTTGGAAGAGTTTGCTGTCCAGTGACCTCCTGTTGGCATTCAAGGTTGGCATAGAACGCTACCTGGCACATGGGTTACTCGCCATCTAAAACCAAAAATCAGGACATATTTATATCTTATTGCTATGTCCAAAGGTTAATTTTTCTTCACTTGGTAAAACATGATTATTACTTTCCTATTAAATATGAGTATTTGTAACTATGAATACTAGACTGGGGCAGACTATTTGCTGTCCTTGGTACATACTTTCTTTTTAAAAAATATAATAGACCCTCTCAAATTGTAGTCAAATGCATGTCTACTCTATTTGATACCATTTTTCCCTAGCCTCTCTTGAAGGTAGTTGTGGCAATAAAGTGTAGTCTCCATTAAAGGGATGTGAGCAGAAGTCATGTGTGCCACTTCTGGTTCATCAACTCAAAGGCAAAGGTACTTTTCAAGGACTTCCAGCACCCTCTTCCAACTGACTGGAAGATGGATGTGGATATGAAATCACTTCAACCACACAGACCAGGACATCAGTCTAGGGGCTGAAGAGCTACAAGACAGAAGAACCCTTGGTCCCCAGATGACTCTGGGGAGACCTGCCCTCCTACTCTGGACTCTGCACATCTCTACACTGTTACACAAAAGATAAATAAGCTTCCATTTTATTTGTGTCTGTGTATTTTGGAATCTCTCTGTTACAATAGCTTATAACATAGCCTAATTATTATACAGAATGAGTCTGACAGAAACTTCTTGGCATATTTTTAAATGCTATAAATTTTTAAGTGTGTAATTGAAGTAAGAAGAGAATGACAAATAAATGAGACAAAGTAGAGAGCCCAGAAACTAGTATGTAATATTTTAATACAATCCAAATAAGGTAAAAAAAAAAAAGATTAGTGAAGAAAAAAAGTATTATTTACCACATTCTGTTCAACTCTCCATTTAGCTCTTGACCTTCCAGATAAATCAATAAACGTAAAAAAAATAAAGAAGTAGTTAAAAACCTAGGTGAAAATATTGGCAAATATTTATCTGTTCTCTAGATAGGAAAACTCCCTGAGATATAAAGTAATAAAACAAACCAAGATAAAAAAAAATTTGTTAATTTGTCTAAATTAAAATTTAACATTTCTGTATTAAAATATGTGATTAATAAACAAAACCAAAAGGTAAGCCACAGGCTTGGGGACAAAACATTAGCAATACATACTTCAAAGAAGTAATATCTGCATTCACTCATTCATTCATTCATTCATTCATTCAACTGTAAGTATTTATTGAATCCCTAGCATGGGTCAGGCACCATTTTAGGGCACTAAGGATTCAGTAGTGGTCACAATACACAAAGCTCCTTGTGGTGGGCAGGTTCTAAGGTACCCCTATGGTCCTGGCTCTGGTTGTTCACATCTTTATGTAATCCCTTCCCTTGAGCGTGGGAGGGACCTGTGACTTGCTTCTACCCAACAGAATATGGCACCTGTGATGGAACCTGACTCTCACAATTATGCATGTTATATATGACTCAGGCCTGCTAGCCACTCTCGCTCTCCCACTGTCCTTGAAGAAGTAAACTGCCATGCTGCACACCTAGGAGAAAGCCATCTGGCAGGGAACCATGGGCAGGCTGTAGATGCTGAGGGCAGCCTCCAACAGACAGCAAGAAACATGAAGATCTCAGGGTCTTTTGTTTTTTGCTTTTTCGCAAACATCCCAAGTGAGCCTGGATGCAGAATTTCCCCTAAATTGAACCTCCAGTTAAGGACGGTCTCACTGACACCCTGACAGCAGCTTTGTGATACCCTTAGCCTAGGACCCAGCTAAGCTATTTCGGGATTCTGGCCTCATAGAAACTGTGGGATCAGGTGCTTCTTAAGGTATTCCATGGCTTGTCAAACAGGCTTCTTAATTACAGTCAGGGATGAATTTTTTGAGAGGAAAAATAAGAGTTTCAACACCTACTTCTTCTACAGAATTGAGCAAATTACCCAGTTGCTTTTGTAATTTTATTGTGATCACCAGAAGAAATCCTAACATTAATTAAATGAAATGTCATTTCAACTATGACAATGTGTGGATTATTTGATGAACAAAGACTATGTACCACCTGGTAAATTACAGGCAAAACAAATTGCCTAATAAAAAGCATTTACTTTAAGACCACAACTTTCTCAAGAAAATGGCTCATAACAGAAATTTGTAAGTGTGCATCTTTGAAGATGAAACAAATTGGTGGCTTATGATTTCAGAGAGTGCATACAGAGCAGGGGTAGTGAGGCTAAGGCAACAAGAATGATTCCCACATACATCACTTAGGTTTGCTCCTTTTGAAGCCTCAGGTCTTCATCGTCATGCTATTAACCATCTTGTGACTTTGGGGAGACTGACAAAGGTGATTAAGTGTACATATGAAATTATAAATCTATCAAAAGTATCGGGAGACCAATACTGGCATAAATACTAAACCTATTGATAAAGAAAAAAAAAGTTATTACTGGAAATTATAATATGGCAAAACACTGGCCTGGGGATTGAGTAATAGCCAAAATACTGGTGTTGGCGCTAAGTGAAAATAACAGTGATACAGAGCTGCTGTTAACAAAGCACTTGCCACAGGCCAAGCTTCTAGCAAGCATCACTACAGATAGTATCTCATTTAATCCTTACAAGAACCATAAAGAGTAGATATTATTATCCTTATCTTATAGGTAAAGAAACTCAAGTTAAAGAGATTAAGTAATTTGCCTTATTATTCTTTAGATAATGAAGCAGCAGAAATGGGTTATGAACCTTGGTCTGATTCCAAGGCCAGTCTTCCTAACCAATGCCTTGCACTGCTTCTACTACACTTCTTTATTCCTTGGTATAAATTCATAAACATTTTTGTCTAATTATACACATAATTCTTATTGATGACACACCAGTAGGATGATGTGAATTGCAGCCTGACGTAGCTATAAATGCAGTTCTTTAAATGGTACCCTTGGTATTTCCCTGAAACATTCTTGTAGGTCACTGACTTGACCAGCTGTGAAATTTCAGAGCAAAACCAACCCTCTAAAGGTGTCTCTAACACTCTGGAGCTTCAGAGTAAGTTTTTCCGAAACATAACTTTGTGTCATGAATAAGTAGCTTTAACAGTCACCTACTTTCTTCCACAAAATGAAACGCTCAAGGAAAAACTCTTATTTTAAAAGATCTACCATACCTGTATTTTTGCTTTCACACACAGCCTGCTGCAGCAGACAGAACCGGTAGTCCATCCCTTCCTCTATTCCATCATAACCCTGGCTTTGTTAGCATTCAACTCTTAGCTGCTCTCTCCAGTGGGCATCTGGGCCCAGTCCCTTGGTTCAGGGACAGGTTTTGGACTGGTCTCCCGTTTCCATGTCAGTGAGTGATGAGGCACAGAATGGGAAGTATCTAGCCAATGACCTATGGAGAGAAGCCTCTGGGAAATGTTTCTCTGTTCTTAAGAAAAGATACGAGGAAGAAACAAGCCCCTCTTCTTCCTGTAGATTCTGGATGTAATAACTGGATCTATAGCAGCCACCTCTTAACCATGAAAGAAGCTAGTTTGAGGACAAAGTCAATGAGCCAAGACCCAGTTGGAAGATCTGGGTTCTGACTCTGCATCTTAAGAGTTATATGAATTCAAGCAAATTACTTTGTGTCTCTGAGCCTCAGTTTACTTACCCATAAAATGGAGGTAATAATTTTACTTTCACAAAATGTTGTATATATTAAAATGAGAAAAAACATGAGGAATACCTGGCACATAAATGTAGATATTATTTGCCATGTGATTTAACCTCTTTTCATTTGTTCATCACTCATTAATTCAATATTTATTGGGTGTCCAATATGCACCAGAAACTATTCTAGGAGCTGGGCTATGAGCATTGCAGAAAAGAGACAATAGCCCTGCTTTCATAAAGCTCACATCCTAGTGGGACAGGCACAGTTCATGAACTGTTGAACAATAACTTCTAAGCCTTCCTTGTTTGTATAAAAAATTACCTTTGGCCTACTTCACAGGATCATAGCTATAGTCAAATGAGAGCACCCACAAACTGGCAGCAACGAGCCAATCAAGCTTCAGGACACTTTCATTATGCCTACAGTGTTTTTTAAATGTTTACATTAGTTGGCACTTGTAAAGATCAGATACTATTCAAATTTTCAAATTCTTTTGAAAAACTGCAAGCTCTAAAAATACGTTGGGCTGCATTCCCTTGTGGCAGCCATGAGATGGAGCCAAGCAGCAGTGCCCCCTTTCAGACAAGGCCTGCACTTCTGCTTTACCCTATCCCTGACACCCTGTCCTGCACACATTTGTGTGCAGTTCCTGTGTGCTCTACCTGCCAGGCCCCTGGAGGCAGTAAGATTTTCAACTTCTGCCCATACTGTGCTAACATAAATCAAAGCTTTTTAAACAGCCATGTGAGTCACGTTTATGGTACGTTTTATGCCTAGCACCTTCTCTTTCTCTCAATTCCAATAGAACCAGCATTCAAGAGTCTACCTACACCTGTGACACACACACACAATGGAATAACTCACCAGTTAGACACAATTAGCTGCCAAGTGTTACGATGTGATACCATCAGTTGTATCAGTAAAAAAAGGCACAACTTAGGAACTTCTGCCTTGGTATAGTCCTAGCTTCTTCTTAGGCTTTTCCATTTAAATAAACCCCAAGGTTAAGCTGTTTTCCAGTGTAAGACTATACATCCACCTGTCCATAAACATCTGGTATAAGGACCATCCTTAGTGCCGCCCTATGCTATGAAAGAAGACTGAAACAGCCAGAGCTGTGCAACAGCCCTTTAAAAAAGAAACATAATGTGATGGATCATGAATTGGAAAGGTATCCACATTCTTTCAACAGCGATTCTATTTCTGGGAGGCTATCCTAAGAAAACAATGTAAGAGAAGCCACTATGGGCAAAAAAAATAATAGCTGCATTAACAATAATACATAAAACAGAAGCAACCTAAATGTTTAACAACCAGGAAGTGTCTGGAGAATTATGACATGTTCAACAAATGGAAGAGTGCAATTCACTACAATTATAAACAGGAAGATAATATTGT